AGAATTCACTGGCCGCCGCGGCCAGGTCGCGGCGACCATGGTCGTCAGTGCGTAGGCAGCCTTAATCCTGTTGTAGCTTCAACCATATTTGTTTTCCTCAGTGCGGTCGCGAAAACGGTCCATCTTCGGTGTCAGCGGCGGCCGCCTGGTCCCGATACACGGAGCGCTTCGCTCGCCCCTATACGCCAGCTCGGTACCACAAGCCCGTGTTTCTGAGGCGAACCGCTCGGAAGAACGGCGGAGGGGAACTCAGCCACCTCCAGTACGGGGCTGCGGCATCAGCCGCCCACTGTTAGGAGGAGGAAGCCCTTGCGCCTTCACGACCACTCGGAGTGTACTATTTCAAATCCTATACGGTGAGTTAAATAATAATAATGAAACTAATTTAAATAAAAGAAATTATCTCACACATCTATTTCTGTATTGTGTTGTGAGTCTTCTGAATAAAAAAATAAAATAAATAAATGAAAGAGATCATCTCATGTCATTTTTTGTTTTTGAGAAATTTGTGGACAAATGTACACTTGGAAAATGTACTGTAAAAAAACCGTAGATGCTAGATAAAGATAATACTCAAATTACAAATCCTAACAATATCACATGCATACAGGTCAAAGCGATAACCTCCTTTTTAAAGTTAGTTAATGATCAAGAACCACTTTCTAAACATTATAATGAATTAAGTTTTATTAACAGTTTCGTCGCCTGTCGTCCTCACCAGTTGTACCGCGCGGGATGTCTGTCGAGCGCTCGAGCGTCCCAACAGCGTCTCTCGGCGACGAGAAGAGAGAGGTTCAGAGCCTAGCTTGCCTCCACGCAGAGACCCACTTAAGTCCACCACGCCCACATCGTCAAGATCGGAAACGGTACTCATACCGCTAAATCACAAAATCGATATTTTCATATCGAAATGTCCACGCGAGGTGGATAGCGATGATCAGAAATGAAAGAATCCAGAAGCGCTAAAATAGATGATTAGCGGAAATGTCAATTATCATTAAAACTGGTCACTGACATTGAGATGAGAGATGTGAGATCGATATTGACAGTTGGACAAAATTTGAGCAAAGTTTTAAATATTGACACGAAATTGATAAAAATGTTTGATAAAAAAAAATATATTCAATAATGACTTGAATTATTCTCAGTTTTAACTTAGTAAAAAAATGTTCTAAATGAATCAAGATTTAATTTATTGACATTACAAACCATTTAATGTTTGCCTCTGGCAATGAACAAATTGACTTCTCTTAAATCTAATAGTATGAGGTGTTCATACTATATATAAGCATTAAGCACTACGCTCCGTCGAAGTCGGTTAAACTTAACCGACGTACATTCCTACACGCTTCGCTAACTATTTTCGCTTAAAATATTTGGAAGCGAAAACTCCGTAAATAGTCTCGTGATATTTTTGACTCGTTTTATTTATTTGAACTATTTTTCAAAATCTGTGCAGCTTTAATGGCTTACGAAGGCACTCTTTATAACGTACACTTATAAAGAGTGTTGTTTACTGCGTTTTTGTTTTCCTTTTGGAAAAGACGGAGAACGAATGATTTTCTATGACATGAAATGGTACATTAATTCTCCTTGTGTGTACAGCGTGTTTGGAAAAAGTGTAAGGTGTTAAAACCCCTGATTCGCCGACTTAAAATTCTTACAGATCTGTCAAAACACGTTGTATATAAGAAATTGATCCGAGTCATACAGGGTACTAAACTCGAATACCGCTATCGGATCGGTTTCTGCCGTTGGGTCGCGTTTTAGCGGCTCACGCTAGCTTTAAGTGTTTAGAACGATTGTATATATATGTTCTAAATGTACAGATCTCTAAGTACATGTGTAAATACGAGTGATTTGTTGATGAACCAATCTTGTTGATTTGTATGGAGATGAAATAAATATTATTATATTTATACTTACGGCCTTTTATTATCAATCCTTTTGCCTTAAAACCTTCGACTAACCACTAAAGCTACGACGCTTTTAAGACCAGGGACATATTCATGTCCATGAGAGTGGAAATTGAGAAAAAAAACTTAAAAGTAATAGATAAGAATCGGTTCAGCTTTTTAATGTTTAATGTTTGAAGAACTTTATTTCTCATTACAAAAATTATTTTTTATTTACATGAGAAATTTAATGTTATATACGAACGAGATACACGTCGCCATCAGCTAGCCCAATTTTAGTCTAATGGGCTCATTCTGATGTGTATCTTTAATGCCCTTTTGAACTGATTAATCACGCTAATGTTACGAACCTTAGACGGCAACCTAGAAGAAACTTTCGTTTCTTTAAATTGAAGAAACACGCCTAAATTATTATTAGCCCAGGAGTTTTAAAACCATGGACACATTCACGTCAAATCGAACGTAAACTATGAATGAAACCATAACATGTCGAAACATGCCTTTTTTTACTAAAACCCTTGCTATTCGACTTAAGGTTGAGATCAAAGTAACAAGTTTTGAATAAATAATATACATGTAAGATTTCAGTCTTTTAATAGAACCATGTAACTGATTGAACTAACAATTAACTACGCACTAAACGAGACAAAAGTATTACAACTAATAAACATTCACGAAGCTAAATTCTATAAAATTAGACAACCGCAAATTGGGAACCTATACTTCCAGTTTCCAACTGGTAACATTATAAGGAATTTAATTTGATCCTAATGAAATCTTCTGGTGTATTCTATAAATCTTACGATTGGCTTTTTTACAAAATATTCTACCATTCATAGCCAAGACTCGTATAAAAAAACACCAGAAGATTCCACATTTGAAATTTCAGTAATAATATTGTAAACGGAAATATTCTATTTACAAAAAAATCAAATCTGATTCTAGAATCAAATAAATTTTACTAATTGCGAAAAAAATATTTTATAACAATTCCTTTGCATTAATAAAATGTTAAATCTATTTAAAACACATAAATAAGTATGAAATATAACAAACCTATTTTAGTGGACACTGATTATAATCCTAGAACTAGGTACATGTTTAAAACTCTCTCTCATGAAGTTAAAAATATTTTTGAATGTTATTGTGATAAATAAGTTATTCAAGAATCTTGATCTTATCGTTAAAAGAAATATTGATTTCATTACTTTAATGTATATTTATTACTTAGTCGACATACAATAGGTGACGTAAATATCTGATTATCTTCATGAAAGAGACAAAAATACTAGTATAATACAATTTTATTATATGTACAAAATATTGCTCAATTGGAAGTATTAATATGGCAATGTCTGGCAAGACTAAATTCGTAAATGTATTTAAAATTCAAATGGGCGTCAATTCTGGTATACCTAATTGTGTATTCAATACTTATCTGTTTTTCTAATAAATTTTTATCCTGTATTAACTCATTTTTAATTCGTTTCATGCAAAAAAAAATTTACGTTACACCAGAAAAGATAACATTATATTACGGAGCAAAGTTTGTTAAAATTTAAAATTGATTATTTTGTAGAATAGAATTTTCTTATGGCAAAATGGACAGTTACTTGGCAAGAACAGAATGTTATTTAAGACTTCGAAAGAACAAAATTAGTCCTACAATATAAAACATCTTTACTAACTAGTATGTAGGATAAATCATGTATTACATGCAGAAATACATATCACCATAGTACTAAATTATAGACACATACTATCATGAGATTACTAATTTTATTATTGTAAATAATCCCAGTTGGGTTAATCGTAAAAAGGGCCGCTGTTCCCCATTTTGAATTTAGACGCGCACAAGTCTAAATTTCCCCGCCTAAATCACTGGAGCAATAAAATTTCTACCTAGTAATATAAGGTCAAATGCTATGCCTCGATGAGACATTAATTGTGCGTATTAAACATATACTAAGTTATTGAGTATTTTAATTATTATAAGAGAACAAAAAATTCTATGCTATTTACAAAAATCTAGTACTACAATACACAAAGGTCGAAATTTTTATCGTAATAGTGAACACGATTTAAAGGCTTTTCTAAATAGATACAAACATAAAGAAATAAAATAAACTGTACAGAAACAATACACGTTCTTTTTTTCCCCTCCATTTTGCTTTTAGTGTGCAAATTGTCAAATTATTGTCTATTGCTCAGTTTTATTCGCCATTTTGTAGCACAGAGCGAATTGACGATTTAAAACTATTTAGTTTAAAAAAATTCTAGCGCCATAGTTTATTTTATTTCATGATGTTACACTCGTGTTAATAAAATAGCACGTTTAAAATTAAAGAAATATAAAATCTTATATTATCTTTAATCAGACTGTCCGAAGTAATATTTAGAATGTTATAAAGTGTTGCAACTCTCAAAATAGCTGAAAAATAAAACACAATACAAACTATAGTTTTCCTTACAACACTCAAAGGTCGCTATCGACATAAAGTTGAAAGACACAAAACATAGCTTTATTATTTTAAGGGTCTGTTTCACAATGTATGGATAAAGTACCAAATAGCTATGCAACACATAAATTATTTGGAAGGAAAAATTGTTCATTTGTCACTTCATCGGACTCATAACTTATGATGGACTTTATGTGACGAATAGCGCTATCTGACAGTCGTGAAACGCAACAATACTGTTTTTCCTACGTAAGTAATAAATAGCTAATTTGGAACTAATGTAGAACTTATACGTACAGTGTGAAACAGACCCTAAATAATACAATATTTTTTATTCAATACATAAACCTCGTAATTTTCAAAAAAATTACTTATAAGAACTGTCAAATCATAGTTGAGAGTACTCTAGGCGAGCGTGTCTCTATTAGTATATGGGCATCTGTTTAAAATGTCTTTCTCATTTGAAGGAATCTGTAGCGACACCTACAAACAGTACGATGACGTCATACCATGTACCGCGCTAACGAAGTTTTTCCGACCGCCAAGGATAAGGACTGGCAGTCTTGTCGAAGATCCTTCTTTTAGGCCGGAAGAATAGCACAACACCATTCTCTTAGAAATCCATTTAATCAGTTACTTGTTTCTCGGAACCACTTTGCCATCCCGAATCCATAGTATTTGTGTCGCTGTAGCAATGGTGGTGGTTTGTTTTCAACTCTTCCTTATTTATGTTCTCGGGCTCGTACTGTGAATCAGGACCAAGACATTTTGCCTCCGGCTCGTTTGAATAAACTATCTCCGGACGTCCGTCTTCATCAGACAACAACGACTCGTCTGTGTTTGGCGACAAAGGTGAGATTATTGGAGCAAACTCTCTTTCTATCTGAGTTTTAGGACTGCGTTTAATCTTTAACGGGCTTATGTGCGGACGCATTTTTGGACTTCCCTCGAGCCTGATGCTGGAGTTCAAATCTGACATTCGTCTGTCTTCAAATCGGCTCCCTCTCGATTCATTCAATATGTCGCTCGTTCGGTCTCTTGAGTCATTCGTTCGTTCCATTCGGTCAATTCTCGACGATTCACTGATACGTTCGACTCGAGGATCGTTCAGCCTGTCCCTCGAATCGCTCGCATCCATATCGATTCTTTCGACAACCCTTGAAATCCTTGAATCGTTCAGTCTATCACTTCTGTCTATTCTAGAATCATTCATTCTCTCACAACGATCGATTCTAGAATCGTTCATTCTTTCAATTCTAGAATCGTTGTGCCTATCGCAACGCTCAGCTCTAGAATCGTTCATTCGGTCACTTCTATCCAATCTGGAATCGTTCATTCTGTCACATCTATCTATTCTGGAATCGTTCATTCTGTCGCTTCTATCAATTCTGGAATCGTTCATTCGGTCGCTCCTATCAATTCTGGAATCGTTACTTCTGTCACTCCTATCAATTCTGGAATCGTTCATTCGGTCGCTCCTATCAATTCTGGAATCGTTAATTCTGTCACTTCTATCGTGTAATCTGTCTCTAGAATCGATTCGTTCAATTCTCTCAATATTTCGATCACTCATCCTCAAAGAACTATTTAGTTGTTCAATCTGTTGTTCTGTCAAACGAATGGAACTATTCAAATCCGGACGCATTTTTTCTGACTTCTTGTCTGTTTGTCTTGGCCTACGTTTGGAACCGACTTGCGGTTGTGGCCGCTGCTGTCTTGTTAAGGTAAATGACCCAGTGTCTGATTCCGAAGTGGATTCTGGGTGATTCTCTATTGTCCCAACTAGAGCTGATAAGTTCGGATTTACACAACAATCCGCCTGAAATGGAAAATAAATCAATTCCAAAAACAAATCCAAAATAAACATGACATACATATACATCTTTGTATGTTAACATAGCAGCGCTCCATGGGCATATATGGAACTACTTTAAGGCACGAACATTTACAAATTATATGTGGGACCACGTGCCTACAGAAGCTAAACAACACCGTTGAGCGTATGTATATACAAATGAATAAAGTATTGAAAGATATTTATATATTTTATCGTTAATTGAAAAAAAAATAAAGCACTTTTTTTTAATATTGTTTCTTGAATATAAAAAAATAGCTTAACAAGTGGATATAATACTCACGTTACAGCAACTGGACACGTCGGCAAAATAAACTTCAGACTCCGTGTTCTGATTCACTCCACGGTGACAGTCTTGCATGGAAGACCTAAAAATATTAGTAACGACATTTTTATTAAAACCTAAACAACTATAAAACGTACTACGTATTTATAATTTTCTTAACCTATATAGTAATCTTAAAATATACAAATTACGTGTCACGTTGTTTGTCCGCTATGGACTCCTAAACTACCGAACCGATTTCAATCAAATTTGCACACCGTGTGTAGTTTGATCCAACTTAAAAGATAGGATAGCTAATTTATACCCGCAATATTATTTTATTGCAAAATATTTCTTTATTATTTGACAGTCACAATTCTAACAGATGGCGCTGTGTTGAAAGTACCAACGTTTCACATAAGCTACAATTTAATGGCATTACCACCAAAAAAGCATGGTGGTCCCCATGACCGGTGTTCTCCTACCGTTTCCCTTGAATAGGTTACTACTATGTAATATAACTAAAACCTTAGCCACAGCAACGCTTGGCAGGTCTGCTAGTAATAATAATAATTAATAAACAGAAAATTAAAACAAATTTAAAAAGTTTGGTCCCTGTGGCAGTGTACCTTTAACCCTGGCAGCATTTCCTCGCTGTATTGCGATACTTATTCGTTGAGCCAGGAAAGCACCAGCTCTGGGGTCACCGGTACTATCTACCAGGCGCCAATTTAAATCTTTAATAAGCGCCTGTGCACTTGAACCCCACGGTCCCCCAGTCTCACAAAAAATGTACACTGCCACATGGACCAAATTGACCTAATGAGCGATTTAGTGGGCAACTTCATTCTGTTAATTTGGTGTCACGGTGCGAGCGCATCGTGAAATTTCACTCTCATAAATTTTTCATAACGCGCCTAAGAAGTATAACTTCAAAAACAAAGATTTGTCCTCTATCAGCAGTAGGCATGGTGAAATAGAAGCACGGATCTGTGGTTAAATTGGTTAGATTGGAGGAAGAATACACCACCTTTCCTCTACACATTAAACAAAATTAAACTGACCTGATTGGAGATTGTTTATCATTTTGAAAAGCCAAATTTTCCTTGCCTTGTTTCTGACAAGAGTCGCCGCTTTGATCTGAAACTAAATAAAATAGATGAGATGTGAAATTAAGATTTTTGAAGTGAAACTTCTTTAGGTGCATGAGGGTAAAATGTTTACGGATGAAACGCAATAATAAGCGTAGTATTAGCGTCACGAAGATGTGCAGCGTTTTTGTCGAAGAAAAGGGAGCGAGCGATTGAGACCGATTAAAAGAGAGTGAGAAGGGCTAATAACCTTAAAGAAATTCTATTTTTAAAATTAAAATTTCGTAAAGAGAATTTATGAAATATTAGTATTTTATATTTTATTCAAAATAATTCATTGAAATCTCAAATGGCGAGTTGTAAATTAAAATGGCACGTGTTTTTATATCGAATAAAAAAAATATAATTTGTATTAATTTTCGTCAGTTTTAATATTTTAATGATAATTAAATACATTACATTCTTAACATATCTTCCTTTTTCCCTCCCTCAAGTCTCAGAAATCACAAGTTTTCGATTTGTATACCTATAGTTACGTAAATATGAATAAGATTTAAAAATTAGTTTGCCAAAGAAGTTTCCCTTCTGACATGTGTGCGTCACTTTTTTTTTAGTATCCTTCTATTACCTAGCTGCATTTATATAATAACCAATGTATAAAAGTACTGGGTTTGACTCCCGGTACTTTTACAAACAATAAAACAAGATACAAAAATGTGTCCGCCTACTTATGAAACTTCAATCATATATGATAAATACCTTTACTGCAGCTTTTCTGGTGAACACACTCCATTACATCATCCCTGCAATCCCGATGTATGTTCCCAGCACTGAGCCCCAAGGACCGGGGACAGTTCCTGTATGGGACCAAATGACCCCGCAAGGTGTTAAACCTCTCCTGGCCTTCTTCTTGAGGATACATTTGCAATTCTTGATTTAGTCTGTATTCCGGATTCAGTCTCGCCAATTCCGGGTGCATTCTAACTAATTCCGGGTTCACTCTGACTAATTCCGGGTTGATACGGACTAAGTCGGGGTTGATTCTGACTAATTCCGGGTTGATTCGTTCTTGGCTGTGATAAGAGCTTCTCGTACACGTGTGCGGCTGTAAGTTTGTCAGTTCGTGTGGGTTTATGGTTCTGTGTACGTCTATGTGATGGTGATGAAGAAGGGTCGTTGTAGCTGGATCTTGGTGATGGAGATGGTGTCTGAAAGGATATAATAATTAAATTCCCTGTACCTCATTTCAATAACGAAAGAGTGGAAATCGCTAAATGTGTTTCCGGGTTTGTAAAAACTTCTTATATAGATTTATGTATTCCGCAAAATAAAATTGATTAATAATTATTCTTACCGGCTGCCACTCCTTCCTTGAGGGCTGTACGGTGGGGGAGGTCCCCAAACTCCAGTTTGGGCATCAAAACTGGTATTGCCTTCAGAGAAGCCTTCTTGATACCCAATTTGCCCCGGTTGAAAGTTTTGCGGTTGAAACTGGGAACTTTGAGCGAATTGGCCCGACTGACTAAACTGAGCCGACTGACTGAATTGGGCGGATTCGAACTGGGACGTCTGGGGGAATGTGCCAGAGTTTTGTCCCCGTTGAAAGGGTTGGTTGAAGTTGGGATAAGCTCGTTCTTCGTAAGATTGAGGCGGGTTTTGAGCTTGTTCCGTTTCACAGAATCCGTAAGCGCTGTCACCCGACTGTGGAACGCCATCCATGCGGCAACGAGAACTGGAACAATAAATAAGTTTAATTCCGCGTAACGATTAACTATGACTAAACGTATTAATTTAAACGTAACGTAAGATTAATTCAATATATAAGAAGAAAAATAAAAATTATGAAAATATTTAAAATGTTCATGGTAATAGAATCTTTATTTCTGTTACAACTTTTGCACCGACTATTAACACTACACAAAAAAAATACTAAGAAACAAAAATGAATAATAAAACATACAAATCTATAATTTATTGTCAGTCATAGAGTCTCTCCAAATTAAAATCATTTATTCATATAGGTAACACAATGTACTCTTAAGAACGTCAAAAAATAAATACATATTAAATGCTAAATTATGAAGCATTTACTGCTAGTTCTCAAATCAAGGGCGTAGAATGGAAGAGAAGAACTGGAAATAAACTCTCCGCCACTCTTTTTTAAAGGCGCCAATTGTGTTGGCACCTGTAATAGACTCTGTGAAAAATACATATCCTTGCACAATATTTTTAAAGTAAACATTCATCTAAGATATAAGGTTGTAGCGCCACTGATTTGTAATATTTTTTAAACATTCTAATATGAATTTATTAAAAGTCATCATTTGATAATTGTCAATTTTTGAAATAAAAATAAAAAGGTTCGTAGTTTTATTAAAATATTCAATTTGTGATTACTTACTTTTGACTATTTCCCCTCGGCCATGGGAACCAGCTCCACGGAGAAGTCTTTCTTCCTGAGCCTGGATTTGGCGAATACAAGTTTCCTATACGACCTAAAAATATATATATAAAGAAAAATTTAGTTCAGTGTATCTTCTCGTTGGGAATTTTAAAACGAATATTTCTGTTAGTAATGAAAAAAAAACTAAGTGCGACTCTCCTACGTCAAAAAAGAAAATAAATTGAATTTGACATAAGGGAGTCAAAGATACAAATCTTAGCGCTGAGTGCGACTCTCCTACGTCAAAAAAGAAAATAAATTGAATTTGACATAAGGGAGTCAAAGATACAAATCTTAGCGCTAAGTGCGACTCTCCTACGTCAAAAAAGAAAATAAATTGAATTTGACATAAGGGAGTCAAAGATACAAATCTTAGCGCTAAGTGCGACTCTCCTACGTCAAAAATTGGACTTTGACATAAGGGAGTCATAGATCGCCCTAAGTCTCATTTTTAAATGTTCACCATAGACACAAAATCTACATCTAGAACTTATATAAATTTTGAAAATATCTTACCAGGCGCCCAAAATCGATGTTGCAAACTGAAGTCCCAAGCAGGCTGAGTTGTATGACACTGCGGACAACAACTGCAGTTGTTCTGAAATTGTTGCATACAACATTATATAACTTTTTTTACAATCAACAACTTAACTTGGCGTGTTTACTATTATTATTCTTAAATGTACCCGATCATAGGACTGGCCATTATCAGCTACTTTATATTCCCCATCATGAAATAGCAGAGAATTTACTATGCTCAAAATAATATTTAACCAGTCTGGCCCTTCAATATTATTTTGAGCTTTATTATTAAATATTAATATACCCCCCAACGCCTACTGTAAGTACCGTCACCACCCTAAGACAATTAAAATGTTGGGTACATTACAAGCAAATCAAATTAATTTTTAGATCATATAAAAACGCACACACACACGCCCACAAATTACACATTCCGACACACCGCAACCAATAAATTATTAGTAAATTGTCTTTGTTAGTACATAATATCTTCGTATACATGGTGTAATCCTTTTGGAATATTTTTATTTTAAAATTGTAAATATTATCTTTATAAAAAAGCTGTAGATTATCAACTGTTAAATAAATAAATAATTTTTGTCAGATGTTCTAAGAGAAAATTTATTTAAAAGAAGTTAATAACACAGTCGTCAATGGATTCGGAAATAGCAACAAACCTGTGCAGGTCTCCCAGTAGCGGGGGCAGCTTGTCCTGTTGGAGGTCTATACAAAGACCGGCAACGGAGTTCCAGCTGCTCCCAATACATCTTCTTTCGTTCATGACTGAAAAGTAGATTAGGTATTATAAAATTATAAAGCAAATTATGATTCTGCAATAAAAAAAAACAAAAAAATATAATCATTTTTACTCTATGACTACAGGAGTTATTTACTATTGTATACTCAACGCCTAGACACCCTGACACCGCGTCATTTACGACCTTGCCCTACTCCATGTCTCCCAGCAACACGCAGTCAATGGTGTCTCGTATTACTATAGCAACGTTGATGTCATAATCCAACACGCGAAATCGGTTCTTCCGTTAATACAAATAAACTCTATATCTCCATCAAGTACATTTTCTAATCTGTTAATCTTTTCGCAGAATGTCATATAATTCAAATCAAAACGTGGATACAGTTTACATACGTTTATATTAAATTTATTTTATAATCATGTTACAAACGCATCATAGAAGCAGCATCAGCCAACATTCGAGATCCGTGAGTCACTTTATCAATGAAGCTGATGAACTATCAGATTCCGAGCTCGTTAAACAGGTCAATGATGTTAAGCAGCAAATAAGAGTGCTCGCTTTGGAAAACGAAATCTTAGAAAATACTATAATGAGGCTCGACCCGAGTTTAATGCATGGTATTCAACAAGCATTGGAGTTCGCTGCAAAGATGCAGAGCGGTTCATCCCTAAATGTTAACAGTTTCGTCAAATCGACGTCGAAACTGGGCATGGAATCTGTTACCAGCCCATCTAGGATGCTGACAAGCCCTTCAAAAGTTTCAGCACGGCGTGTAGAATCATCAGGTAAGTTCAGTAGCACTGTTATTTTTGGCACCGGCCCAAGAGTTAATGTTCTAGAGCGATCGGAACTAGTCACCCTTGAAATGGAATTTCTTATCAACAACCTCGAGAAAGCGAGAAGTAAAGCGGCGAAACAGCACGCGCTACTAAAAGCACAGCTCGAAGAAATCGGTTTACGTGAAGTTGAAATTAAAAAATCGAGTGATCTGTTCGAGACAGAAGTAATAGTTGAGGGTTGGGACAAAATCGCTCAGAGGATCCCCGCTGAGATATGGATCAGATTCATGACCGAATGGGTGAAAATGATAGATGGCCAAATAGGAAAGCTTAGATTGCGAACTAGTACTTTAAACACACAGTACAGTAAGTTCAAAGGGCAGATACGGGTCAAAGCCGAACTCAGCGAGAGTTTGCGACCCGTAGACTTCGATAAGTTGAAGATAGAAAACAACGAATGCGCTGAAATTATTGATATGAAAATACAGCAACTGGCCGAGTTAAAAAAGATGACCGGTGATGCAAATTTAAACCTGACAATACATAAGAAGCTGATGATGGAACAGAATGGCTATTTGACGAATGTATTGAAAACTATCAAATTAAAGCACAAGCAAACGAAAGAGTTGGATAAAGAGAAAGACGTGATACAGGTGCAGGCTGACAGTTTAGCTCAGAGATTAGACGATGTTCGCAAGGTCAGACTCGCATATGAAGTGCCAGATGTGATGGACTATGTCAATATAAAGTCTGAAATAACTGATTTAAAAAACAACATCAAAGTTCTAGAGAATAGAGCACACATACAACGAATTGCACTGACTTCTTTGAATAAGAAATTGAATTTGATGATGAACTGATCACTATGAAACAGTAAACTTTAAACAATTATGGAAACAATAACCCTCTTAATTATAAAAACTGAATCTGGTCATCAACTAAAGTACTCTATCATCTCTTTCTGACAAATTGTGTTTGCGCTGTGATAAATAGAGATAGATTACTGCTTTAAACGGTGTTAGAACGGTGCAGTCTAGATTTATTTTTTGTGAATAAGGTGGTTAATATTTAAAATAGAAAATCTGTTCAGTCCATTTAACATTTAAAATCTTTTTGAAACTGTGAGAATTTATGATGCGTATTAATTAATAATTAAAGATGATTTAGCTGGATGACAGGTTTTTATTGAAACAGTAACTATAGAAAATACGATGTATAGATAAGAGATTATAGACAGACATTGGTCTGTCTTTTGCAGTCTGCACGCCTCGGGTATTTGTTAAGCAATTATTGAAGTTATACTTCTTTAGGCGCGTTATGAAATGATGAGAGTGAAATTTTACGATGCGCGCGCACCGTGACACAAAATTAACAGAATGAAGTTGCCCACGGAAGATGCTACGGCATTGGACATAATTTAAAAACAACATTCGAATAATAATAGAATTTATGTTACACTTACTGTAAGAGAATAATAATAAATATTTATTTACTTAATTTTTCAAATGTAAACTGATTTTTATTGACTATAATGACTCCTTTTCCAGTCTTTGATTATTTAATTGTAATTAATTATTTGCATGCAATCAAACACTATTTTTAATAATGCCAAAGAAGTATAACTTCTTACGCGCGTACATAAGTACAGGCACCCTTTTTTTTATTACAGAATCTTATTACATGGTTTTTATGACACTATAAAATATACAATATATTATTATGCGCAGATACAATTGTGTTTAAAGAAATGTACGGTTCCATACTTGCTCAATAGTTTACCCGAGGACATAAGACGTGAGCCTTCTCTTAGACAAATTTAGGGGTTTATTAAAAAGTGATTTAGAAGTTATGTTTATTTAAGGCGAGTTACCTGCAAACTGCGTTAGCAGTTTTGCGGGCAATGGTTTGAATTAAGGTGTAACTTTTTGTGAATAAATATATTTAAAAAAAAAGAAGAATTAGTACGGTCTGGATTCTAGGTCAAACTTCAGGTTAGGTTTAAAGACATTTATACTCATAACAGACAAGTCACTTACATGAGAACTTATATACTAAAGATGCAATTTATCACGTCATGGGTCATTGAAGAGCTTCAAGAGAGAACAAAGTAGAACTTGGGTGGACTTTGATTTACGTAGATAACTGGGATCACTCAATAGATGGTCTTTTAGTCTTAATTTAAATATTGCCAGGCCGTCTGCACTTTTTATATTTTGTGGAAGTCTATTTACCGCAGCACTCCCCCAACGCTCAATTTTTACCGTAATTGGTTCTAAACTTAGGTAGAATTAGATTGTAAGGGCGTCGTGAACTGCGCTTCTGAATTTAATTTATTTTAGTGACAGTAATGTTACTGTGTATATAGTTATTTAGAATTTTGTAAATTAATAGGCTGGTATTGAAATAATTGTTTTATATTCATGAGTTTTGTTTCACTGTAGATTTTTTGTGTAGAAGTTACGTGTGGGTAATGACAAAGCAATTAAGGTTTAAAAACATTTTAACGTTTTTGTGTTTTACATGTGTAATAGTTTTTGAATGATTTATAAAATGCTAGGTTAGTTAATATGCAAGTATATATTATATATATGAAAGTATTCTCACCTAAGCAGCTGATAAGCCAGCATACAACTGAATATGCAGACGAGTACTGCTGTCACGGATAAGGCGAAAACACCTCGAAGACACCAATATAAGGCTCCGTGGACAACTCCACAATCGGTTACGCCTTCGAAAACGCACCGAACTCCTGGAACAAATGTCACTGAAAATTCTCTATACCTCACGTTCAGAGTTGAGATTTGACGTTAGTATCTCCAGTATGTCAAAATGGATTGTTTGCTTAGAACTAAGTTTCGACTTAGCAACAATTTCGATGAACATTAATGTTATTCTAGAAATACATTAAATCGTTCTAATTTTTTATTACCACAGATAAGTATGGCATATTTCTTTGATACAATTTAAATTCTTTGCAAAAAATAATTTTGTAATAGCTTTGTGATACATGATTCATTTGTAGAAACACATATATATCATTATTTTTTTCTTGCCACAGTTTGTAAAATGTTATTTTGTTTACACGATTTAAAGCGAATTCATTTATTGGAATGTAAATTCCTTAAAATTTGCATTACGTGGTTCATTTCAAATACATTCATTATTTTTTCCTTGCATAAAAATGTAATATTGTTCTTTTTATTCGTATATCGTTTTATACATTTTAAGCGAATACATTTATTGGAATGTAAATTCCTTAAAATTTGCATTACGTGGTTCATTTCAAATACATTCATTATTTTTTCCTTGCATAAAAATGTAATATTGTTCTTTTTATTCGTATATTTTTTTATACATTTTAAGCGAATACATTTATTGGAATTCCTTGCAAACCAATTTGGTATTAAATTTGGGTTACATGTTACATATAATTATAACATTTATAATCAGGTGATAAAAATCATACCATCATCATCGCTACTGTGCTGTGAGTCGGGTGGCATTGAAAAACACGAGCATGTTCTGGTCAACTTCGTGTATTCGCAAAATTTCAGCGTTTGAAGCCTGAAAAATTATAAATTATGTGAGCCAATTTCAAATTAATTAAATATCGATCATGGTAACCTTTATAGGTATAAATTAAAAACAATATAAACTAGATATTTTCCCATAATATTAACACATTTTCAGTGGTATAACGAAAATAAAACAAATATTAAGAAATAAATAGCTTAAGCGTATTAGTAATATTTTTAGTAATACATAGCTATTAATATTAAAAAACTAAACTTAAACAACTAAGTTAAGTTTAACTTTTTGTTTAACTTTTAGTAGTGGTTTCGTAAAATCTTTTTTTGTCAAGTATTTACTAACACCATTAGACCTGTGTTGTCAGAAAAATTCATTACGACGAATTTATTACGAATAAACTTCGTAGCGAAGTTTATTCGTGCTTTATTTAACGACAAGGCCTAAGGTAAAGGTAACATTATTTTATGAATGTATAGTACTAGTATATCATCTTTTTTTAATGTATAAAGTACTTACTTGTTCATGTGTATGACGGTCGTTGTGATGGTAACGAGAACACAAGTCAACGCACAGACCAGACAACACGCTCCGACCACCTTAATCTGAAACGATTGTTTTTATTAAATGACTAAAATATATTTTTATAAACACCTTACAGCAAAAGAATATCCAATTCACGCTTAACATTTTTAGGACTAAATTTTGACACATTCATATAACTTGGTTTTAATAGTATTTTTTTCCTTCCTGAAGTTAAATATGCAATAAAAGCTCATTTGCAATATAGTATCTCTTCCTGACTAAGCAAAGCTCTCATTAGCAAAAATGTACTTGCAAATCAGTTTATGCGAGATGCCATCGAGAACTCCCAACTTTTCATGCATAATATTGTTCCAATTATCGTTTTAAAATACTCTACCAGGTACGTAGTTTTGGCAAAGTCGATTTTCTCAAACCATGCATACATGCCAATAAATTGGAGGTGAACATACTTTTCTTACCATATAGCTGTACCGGTTTCTTCTCCTGGCTAAGCTCATTATACAAACTCCGGTCAGGACCAGCTGTGGACAATTATATATTGATTACAAAATGTTTCTTAACTGATAGCGATATCTCTATACGGCGAACAAGACACGGTTTTTAAAGCAGAATTATATATATTTTACAAGCCCAAGAGGCTTCACCTACTTGCCTATTAGATTAACAATCATGAAACAGATACAGAAATCTGAGGCCTAGACCTAAAAAGGTGAAGCGCCATTGGCTTTTTTTTTATTATTTTTGTTAAACCATAAAATTTGGTATTTTTTTATAATCACGTATGATTTATGGGAAATATGTTTGTTCTCATATTCATATAAACTTTTTTACTTATAGTCTGGGGTGTTTGGTGTATAATTGTGATTGGTCAAACAAAACGACAGATCGTATTTCTGTCTCTGTCTGACTCTGTCTGTCGGTGAGAGACTAGAGATGCCGTTGATATAAATAGGAAACGAGTGATAGACTATTCATAGTGTTGTAACATCCACTGCGAATATAGGTAGTAAACAGTGTGAATAATCTGATACTTCTAGTGATATAGTGATAATTGTACGATTATTTTACCATAGCAGCGGGTACAGCAGCGGGAACAGTTTCCAAGTGATGAGGTGAAGCAGTGTAGGCCCGTAGCAATATGTGCTGGGCAGCAAGCAAACCGCCCAACGCGGCAGCCAAGGCACCACATCCGCAACACCACCATGCGTACTTCTTCCGTCTGCATGACGTCTCGTTGCCATTGCACCCTACGGATGCTGCAATTTTGGTATTTCATTAAAAAAACTACTAATAATACTTCATTTCCTTTTGGGCTTTTGGGTCTGCCAAAATCAAGGCAAATCAAAATGTTGTCAATTATATTCCAGCATTTGAATATAAACGTCCATAAAATGTCGTAGATATCAGTTAACTATTGAAGTAAGATTATGACTATTAGGGGGTTAAGTAATCGATTTAATGTACAATTTAATAATAATTAATAATCAAAAAATCGAACTTCATATGGCGATACCATCATTAAATATATTAATGCGACTCGCATTAAACAGTCATATTCAAGTCATTAGATATTTAAATTGATATTGGATTATTTGAAAACCAAATTTTTATTCAGCAATAAATAAGTTAATAAATTAGGTTCGATAATAAACATGTAGACAATGAGACGATTTGCTATATCTATTTTACATAGCATCCTTAATTAAATAAATAATACATTAAAAAAAACTACTTTCGAGACAGATACGAAAAAGCTTACAAAATAATTACTAATAAAAAAAGAACTTAGTCAAAAAAATTGAAATAATTTTTACTATCAAGCATAATAACCATTAGCATTTTTTAATTCATATTTTAGGGTTGGTAGAAAAAACAATTATATTATTTACCAAAATAAGGTGGTGGTGGGACGTAATGCTGTGCCACATCAGCTGCTATTGTCGATTGTGGTGTGGACACTTGATACTGTACCACTTGCATAATACCACAAGCTTCCATATTCATACACTCATAAAGTTAAATACCGGAAATAACATTTTAACAACACAACGACCGAAGTTTCAAAATGCGCGCCATTTCGCGAAATCGATATTTATGCACGCACTGATTACTACACGAATATTTACCTCACATAAATACTTTTTCACATCGATTTTCCTTTTTAATTTTAATCTATGTTAAAAGTGTATAAAACTTAAACGTCACAATTTCGCGCGATTTTAATATGGGAATATTCACTGACATAGTTTTTGTCATCTAACAATGGAATTCACTGTTCACAGACTATTAATTAAAAATTAAATTTAAGATATCACACACATTGTCTTTGGGTTATGTTCCAATTTATTATTTTAATAAGCTTTTAGGACGATTATTTACTGTAAAGGACGCGACTAGGTTATGTAGAGTACAACAATGAAATGTTTCGCGCAGACGCAGTAGTGAGTAGACACGGCCTCAGGTAAAAAGGTTTCAAATTGTACTTACAATGTAAGTATTAAACCTTTAGAGCACAGACTAAAAAAAATACATTGACAGGAACAGGTACAATTTTTTGTAAGGTTTAAACTTGAGAGGCATCAATACTGTGGGAATTATTTGGGACACCTGTTTTCGAAATATGTTTGCGTAAATCAGTGTGACAAACGTAACAAAGACTTTTGATCGGAAGATATAAATTCATGATCTTTTCACATTCACGTCAGGTTGGTTATAATACTTTAAATAAGGATTTTTAGTAGTTGTTCAATAATACCTGGGTGCACTTTATTAGCCTTTCTTTTAAACTAAGCATTCAATTCATTTTAGCTAACTGCATTTGCTACTCTGATTTAAACTGAAATGATTACAATATGATAATGCAGTAGTCAACGAAATCATAAAGCGATCTGTTATAGTTTATAGTGCTTTTCGGCAACCGTAGTCAGCGAGAGAGCTCAAGTATAACTTGTTTTTCAGTGAGTTTAATCTTTAATCATAATTTTAAAAACGTAAATCTCTTATGATTCATTTCTTATTTTATTCATATATTATTACCATTATTCCGTCGGTTAGTTGCCAGCACACTTGTAGGGGGTCTTGGTGGTAACGCAGGGGGAGTGTCAGTTTTGGCGGGGGGCGGAGGGCCAGGATCGTCTGCGCATGCGTATTGCGCTGACGCAGGTTTGCATGTGCAAGCTACTTGATACTGAAATGAGTAAAATTAAATGTAAAATGTATTTAATATCTAAAAGTTCTTGTAGCAATCGTTAAACTGAGCGCATAATATATAAGATTTATATGAATACATCTAAGCTGGTACTTTGTCCAGCGCATATAATATCGCTGTATATGATGGCACTTAAGCTTACCATTGAACCTATAGTTTAGATTTCCCAATATCAATATTTATTGGAGTTTACTAGAGACAATATTTCTGTATTATCTGCTTGAGCTCTGACAAATATGTCAAACTTCAAATAGAAAAAATGGTTTGGCAGCTCCTGAACACAGATTTTAGTTTAAGTCACGTTAATACGTACCTTATTACATAGTGTGTAATTTCATTAGAATGCGTTCATAATAACAAATGCCATGCATTTCAAATATAAATACTCTAGTTTATATTTTTACCTTATGCAAATCCGATGTGACGGATGCAGCAGTATCGCACTCTGGGCACGCGTCAGGCGCGGGCGAGCTCCGCGCTGACGTCACGTCCGCCATAGACATTGCTACTTCTAGACCGCTGGAAATAGACGAGAACATTATAACATATATTTTTGCTTCGAATTTTAAAATCCGAAGTCTCAGGCTACATAGCAAAGAAACAAATGTAAATGCATTTGTTTGCTTCGTTAATCGCTCATCTCAAAAATAACTGCTTCGAATTATAAATAAAACGTGTTAGATATATTCCGTGCATTTATAAGTAACTAACACTAGGCTATCACTCTAGAATCTAGATAAAACGCGGAGAATAAGTCTTCGCATAACAAAGACAGATACACCAACTAGTTTCCTAATAAAATAAGTGCAATAAACTATTTGTGCTCTCGCTACGAGGGGATTGCAGACTTAATTACAACGGGGGTAAAGGGGAGGACAACCCCCGTAGAAAACGTTTATTTTAATTGCTCTACGCCTATGCATACAGGAAAATAATGGGGGTTTCAGGGGGACGGTTAAATGAAATGGAAAACTCGGCACTGAAATAAAATCTGTTTGCAAAATGCATTACAATAATTTCTGACATAAAAACTAACAAATTCATATTTGTTAACATTATAATACGTCTTTATAAGCTTTTGTTTCTTTTAAGGGCAGAAGGTTCACTTTATAATACTGCACATGGACACACTGCCCGAATGAACGCGAGATTTGCACCTTAAAAGTTTGGTATGCTCTTCTTGAATGAGTTCGGTGTACGAGTATATACCTATCGAGATAGGTATATACTCGTACAGTGGTAACTGTGCGGCAAAAAGTCCCTTAGAAAACACTTGACAAATTGTGTGAATATATTTGAGATTCATCCACGATTTAGAATATATTGCATATTAAACTCACACCATCACACAGCACAACCGATTTAGGTATTACGTATTTAATAATTTTTTATTGCGTTTTTCCTTTCGTAAATATTTGAACCTTATTGTATATAATATGTATTCTATATGTTTAGTATAATTATTTTATGGTATATAATTTATGTTAACTGTAGAATTATGAAATAAATAAATTAAAGCTATATTTTAAAAATAAATAATAATACAGTAGCGCTAAAACCCTATACGAGTGTTGGCCTTAGATAGCATCATATTTATTTTATAGACAGCTATATGATGAGCCTTCTGCGTCTGACACATGTCGTCCATTTTTGGATCTATAACCAGCGTTCCTTAACTTTGTTTACTGCAAGAGTTAACTGTGTACATAGAAATAAATAACACCCATTTGTGTACCGTGATTCGAACGCACGATCTCAGGGTCGACAGTCAGGCTCAAACCAATAGACCTACGCTATCTCTTATAAAGCAATTAATAAAATCCCACGGAAACAAAACAAGTTAAATTGTTGACAGACCGCTTCGCGGGGCAATGACCGCGTCATTCAATCATAAACTCCGTGCTTGGATTAAATCATAGGCTTGTTATAAACTTACAGTATTTGCACAGAAATATGAATTACGCGATAAACCAGTCAAATACAGGAAGAACGCTGACCGCATATGACTTGTGGCTTCTATAAATTATGATATCTTACACTTATACACACACACTTAGTAAACATCCCACCTTCTTAGTTTTTAATTGCCGAAAAAAAAAAAAAGTTACAAAATAGATTGGAATGGATACTGCCTAAAATAACTAAAATATGTGCCAAAAGGTATTCATTATAAGTTTCGTTGTAGATGTTACATTTTTGCTCATTAATTACGAGCACAATTGTTCTTCGAAAGCAAACTAATATACTGCGCAATATATACGCTATCACACAAAGGAAAGCTATCGTATTAATTTTAAATTTTAAATCATTTATTCATTTAGGAAACACAATGTACACTTATGAACGTCAATAAACTCTCCGCCACTCTTTTTAATCGCCAAGATTTTTGTTTTATAAAATGTTTGTAAGCTGCAACCATTACACCATGTGCCACATGACATCTTCAGTAATTAATAATTTAAAAAAAAACAAAGATTTGTCCTCAGCAGTAGGCATGGTGAAATAGAATAATAAAATAATAATATTTAAAATGGCCACAATAAAATTAAACTACTTGTAGTAATTACTCCGTTCAGCTGCTAACCAGAAAAAAAAACTATAATAATCCATCAATAATGCAAAAATCGTTTCGTTGACCACCCTTTGAATTTTCTCGTTAAGAATAAAAACGCAATGAACGGGCAGCTGTCTCCCATATGGCAGGAAGTGTTCTTAGGTATGCTATATATGAACTAATGTGTTGCTAACGGGAACATATCAATAGTATGTAAATTGAATCAATAAACTAGAGTTCTGATGCTAATGTCACAACCTAAGGCACTGATTTAAGGGAAATTATTTGACAGGTGGGCTATTCCATATTTAAACCTAAGGTCCAGTCATTTATACTCTTTTGTTAGCTAATATTTTCTATGAATACTTCATGTCAATTTTAATTATTAAAAAAAATATTAAGACAATATTTAACGATCACATATACAGGGTGTTCAAAAAGTCGTGGATCAAACGCAAATAGGGGATAGATGAGGTCATCAGCTGCAAAAAATTGTTCTACGGGAGGTCTCTAAACTCAACCCCTGCAGAGTTATAATTTATTTTGCGTTTTATAAGAAAATTTACTTTTTTTACTAATTCTTAATAAAATTCAAAACAATCTACTTCCTGTATCTTTTTCATAATATCCACTAGATTGGTACTGATGAGTTCTTGGGTTAGACATACTATTTATAGTTGTTTATTGAGTGTATTGAAGATAATATTAAGTTATACGATATAATTTTTTTTCAAATCAAAACTTTTTGTTTACTTCAGTGGGGTCACTGTGAAAAAAAATTATTCTACCGAAAAGTGACCCTGTATTACAGGCTTTGGCGCATTTCATAGGGATTCTGAAAAGGTATTACAGCCATGAGTGGAAAATATTTGATAATACTGTATACATTATTTTATATATAAAAAAAGGTTCTAACGTTCGATATGATTGAAAGAAAATATAATTATAAAGTGATTGAATAGATTTAACTAAGTGATACCTAATTTGGCAGTGTTGTGTGATGGTGTAAAAGTGAGGGTAAGTATGTGAAGATGTGTCTCTTTTTAAGCATATTCCGCGATAGCTTAAACAAGTCCACGCTTAAATAGATCGTTGTAATTCAACAACAACAATAATTCATACAATTTTTGACCTTAACCTGTTATTGTGTAGCAAACATTGCAAAAACTATTCACATGGGATTCTTTTGAAATTGTCCATTCTTAACAAAAAATATTTTACCTGAATTAAAATCATTGTGGTGTAGAAAGTTGACAATAACTACGATCTATATACACCTTTATGTAAAGTATGTTTATGAAGTCACAATGGGCAAGGGGCAGAGGAATTTTCTCTGTTGCAGGCCTGGATAAAACCTGTGACCAGCACCAACTGTAGCACCGTAGCACCAACTGTCCAATTCCAATATATTTAATACGAATTTAGTCTGTCTGTGTACGAAGTCTCGTTTCTGAATCTTACCCTAAGGTATTTCGGTTCGTTGTCTGAGAAATTATTATTGTAATAATAATAAAAAAAAACAATAGCGTGGTGCTATCGATTTCAGGATTTAGAACCGCACTGTTATCCCGTATGTTACCATATATCCATTTTCTAAAATATCGAATTGCACGACTGTCAAAATAACACTGTTGCAACATTACTTCAATTTGTTCATAAAAGTATACTTTAACAAAATTTACGCGACAATTTAAGGAAATTCAAAGTTTGAGGACTAAATATTCAAAGTAATAATGATAATCTTGCCCATAGATATGCATATAAACACCATTAATAAATGTTTTTGTAACGTTGCCCATACATTAGAAAGTACTATTGTGTAACAGACAGATTAGGTATACCTCAGGCACGATTTGACCTAACACTGTACGAAATGGGTAATATACTCCTTTGTCAACGATGAAAATACACTTTTACGTAAAGTTTTTTATATAAATGCTGGACATTAATGTTTTAAAATAGGAATTATGTAGCATTAATTATGAATTTTGAAATCAGCCACAAATACTAATTTTTAGTCCTTTTTAAGGATTTTGTATACGTAATAGTTATGTTATGTAGATTTTTGCACTATTTGAGCTGATTTCTTAAAAATTAAATTTTCTTTCAAAGAGAAAGAGATCGCTCGAACTCGCTTTGTACTGATTTTTGCAACAAAGTGTTTAAATAAAGCTTCATTAATTATTATAATGTAACAAATGTTAAAATAGAACATCCTGTCGTATTTTTAAGGTTTTGAGATATGATGAATAATTTTCTGTTTATCTATGTGTTTGTTTTCAGTTTGGTGTGGAATTTTAGGAACAGTAGGTAATTCTAGTACTTTATTTTAGTTTAATTGGCGTGCTCTTTACTTGTATGTTTTATATTATATTTTTTTGTTAAGTTTTCGAAATGTATAAAAGGCGTATCCGTATGTTGGAGAAATATTTTAAATGGGACGCCATTTTATTTAAAAGAAATACTGTAAAAAAAATTCAAATAAAACAAGTTTTAATATTGTGTCAAGAGGCAGAAAATGTACGATATGTAGCTAGCATTAATATAAACATATGTCAGACAATTAAGTACTTCACTTCACTTCACTTTATTTATAATGGCGACATCTGTGTAAATCACAATTCCGCCAATGTCACGTTCTAAGTCTTCACACAGTGAGGATAGATTTGATAATTTTGATAGATTGAATTTTATCTAAGCAGAGTTACCCAAAACAAAAATGACATCACAATAAATACAACACACACAGACATCTAATAATATATACAAGAGGTTAACATTTTACTACAAGGTATGGAGGGGAGAATCTTATTTATAACTTTAATTTATTAACAGAAATAAATTTCCCTAAAATTTTGACGATCGAGCTGGATGGGAGGGAAAGTAGGGAGTTAAGGTTACATGGACGAGGGAAATCTGAAGAAATATGGTCAAATAACGAGTCATTAA